AATATTTGGTGGAATTTTACATAGTTAGAAATGCAGAATAAGGTATTTGGTGGAGTTTTACACAGTAAGAAATGTAGAACCAAGTATTTGGTGGAGTCTTACATGTTTAGAAATGAAGAATCAAGTATTTGGTAGAGTTTTACACGGTAAGAAATGTAGAAAAATGTATTTGGTGGAGTTTTACATGGTTAGAAATGAAGAGTCATGTAGTTGGTGGAGTTTTATACAGTTAGAAATGCAGAATAAAGTATTTGGTGGAGTTTTACATGGTTAGAAATGCAGAATAAAAAATTTGGTGGAGTTTTACACAGTTAGAAATGTAGAATCAAGTATTTGGTGGAGTTTTACACGGTTTGAAATGTAGAATAAAGTATTTAGTGTAGCATTACAGGTTTAGAAATGTAGAATAAAGTATTTAGTGTGTTTTACACGTTTAGAAAGGCAATATTTTTTTTTTGGTGAAGTTTTACACAGTTAGAAATGAAGAATAAAGTATTTGGTGGAGTTATACATGGCCGAAAATATAGAATTAACTATTTGTTGGGGTTTTACACAGTAAGAAATGCAGAAAAACATAGTTGGTGGAGTTTTACACGGTTAGAAATGCAGAATAAAGTATTTGGTGGAGTTTTACACGGTTAGAAATGCAGAATAAAGTATTTGGTGGAGTTTTACGGTTAGAAATGAAGAATAAAGTAGTTGGTGTAGTTTACACAGTTAGAAATGCAGAATAAAGTAGTTGGTGTAGTTTAAACAGTTAGAAATGCAGAATAAAGTATTTGGTGGAGTTTACACAGTTAGAAATGAAGAATAAAGGATTTGGTGTAGTTTACACAGTTAGAAATGCAGAATAAAGTATTTGGTGGAGTTTACACAGTTAGAAATGAAGAATAAAGTATTTGGTGTAGTTTACACAGTTAGAAATGCAGAATAAAGTAGTTGGTGTAGTTTACACAGTTAGAAATGCAGAATAAAGTAGTTGGTGTAGTTTACACAGTTAGAAATGAAGAATAAAGTAGTTGGTGTAGTTTACACAGTTAGAAATGCAGAATAAAGTAGTTGGTGTAGTTTACACAGTTAGAAATGAAGAATAAAGTAGTTGGTGTAGTTTACACAGTTAGAAATGCAGAATAAAGTAGTTGGTGTAGTTTACACAGTTAGAAATGCAGAATAAAGTAGTTGGTGTAGTTTACACAGTTAGAAATGAAGAATAAAGTAGTTGGTGTAGTTTACACAGTTAGAAATGCAGAATAAAGTAGTTGGTGTAGTTTACACAGTTAGAAATGCAGAATAAAGTAGTTGGTGTAGTTTACACAGTTAGAAATGCAGAATAAAGTAGTTGGTGTAGTTTACACAGTTAGAAATGCAGAATAAAGTAGTTGGTGTAGTTTACACAGTTAGAAATGCAGAATAAAGTAGTTGGTGTAGTTTACACAGTTAGAAATGCAGAATAAAGTAGTTGGTGTAGTTTACACAGTTAGAAATGCAGAATAAAGTAGTTGGTGTAGTTTACACAGTTAGAAATGCAGAATAAAGTAGTTGGTGTAGTTTACACAGTTAGAAATGCAGAATAAAGTAGTTGGTGTAGTTTACACAGTTAGAAATGCAGAATAAAGTAGTTGGTGTAGTTTACACAGTTAGAAATGCAGAATAAAGTAGTTGGTGTAGTTTACACAGTTAGAAATGCAGAATAAAGTAGTTGGTGTAGTTTACACAGTTAGAAATGCAGAATAAAGTAGTTGGTGTAGTTTACACAGTTAGAAATGCAGAATAAAGTAGTTGGTGTAGTTTACACAGTTAGAAATGCAGAATAAAGTAGTTGGTGTAGTTTACACAGTTAGAAATGCAGAATAAAGTAGTTGGTGTAGTTTACACAGTTAGAAATGCAGAATAAAGTAGTTGGTGTAGTTTACACAGTTAGAAATGCAGAATAAAGTAGTTGGTGTAGTTTACACAGTTAGAAATGCAGAATAAAGTAGTTGGTGTAGTTTACACAGTTAGAAATGCAGAATAAAGTAGTTGGTGTAGTTTACACAGTTAGAAATGCAGAATAAAGTAGTTGGTGTAGTTTACACAGTTAGAAATGCAGAATAAAGTAGTTGGTGTAGTTTACACAGTTAGAAATGAAGAATAAAGTAGTTGGTGTAGTTTACACAGTTAGAAATGCAGAATAAAGTAGTTGGTGTAGTTTACACAGTTAGAAATGCAGAATAAAGTAGTTGGTGTAGTTTACACAGTTAGAAATGAAGAATAAAGTAGTTGGTGTAGTTTACACAGTTAGAAATGCAGAATAAAGTAGTTGGTGTAGTTTACACAGTTAGAAATGCAGAATAAAGTAGTTGGTGTAGTTTACACAGTTAGAAATGCAGAATAAAGTAGTTGGTGTAGTTTACACAGTTAGAAATGCAGAATAAAGTAGTTGGTGTAGTTTACACAGTTAGAAATGCAGAATAAAGTATTTGGTGGAGTTTTACGGTTAGAAATGAAGAATAAAGTAGTTGGTGTAGTTTACACAGTTAGAAATGCAGAATAAAGTATTTGGTGGAGTTTTTCACGGTTAGAAATGAAGAATAAAGTATTTGGTGGAGTTATACATGGCCGAAAATATAGAATTAACTATTTGTTGGGGTTTTACACAGTTAGAAATGCAGAATAACATAGTTGGTGGAGTTTTACACGGTTAGAAATGCAGAATAAAGTATTTGGTGGAGTTTTTCACGGTTAGAAATGTCGAATAATTTATTTGGTGGAGTTTTACACAGTTAGAAATGCAGAATAACGTAGAGTTTTGTTATTTAGGCTATCACTGTAAGGTAAACATTATCACCTAGCTTGTTTCACACGGTGAAGGGGACCGTGTGCTTGAATGCGTTAATAATTTTTCTTTTAAATCGCACATGTGCAGTCGACATGAAAAAGGAATATTTTCAAGAGTAATTAAAATTCACCTGCTCATTCCAGAAAATCATATTCTTGGTAATTGTGAAAACAAATTAAGTCAAAGGTTTATTACTTTTAAAAATACGTTTCTTTTAAATATAATTAAAATTGATGTAAGTAATGCTATAATTATCAACGCACTGTGCTATATTTTTTTTAAGAATAAAAAGAAACAAAGTCGATAATTTAAGATTGATTTTTTCCGTAACTATTGCAGTTATATGAACTTTTATTCTTTAATGATAAACGTGATTCCAATAGCTGAAAATTTGGTTAACCAAGTTCATTGGTAAATACTGTCATCTGCAGTATCCAGATCCTCACAACCAACGGAATACTAATAATATATATATACGCTAATAAGGAACCTCATCCACCAACTCTCATCCTCACACATATTCACACACACAGTCACACCCCCACCCCATCCACCCGTAAACCACTCCTAATAATACCTTAATCGATGGTTACATTGATACAATTCATGATGATATACCGGTACTTGCCCAGTGAAATGAACATGTAATGAATTATCATCCATGTGTCATGTTGCCCTCCTTTATTATACCCTAAAGCTTAACCCCTCTAGTTCCCACACGGATCATTATGAAATGTGACGAAAGTAGTGAACAGAAATGAATAAAAATCAAATAAAGGGTTATAAATTGAACAGCGACGATAAAAGATTGTTCGTCAGATGTTAGAAAATGAATAAGGAAACGTCAATATTGGTTAAAGGTGTGTGTGTATGATGACGTAAAAGGCCAATCTGGGATCTGATATGCAGTAAAACAATCTCTAAGTGACTTTTAAAACGATAACGATTATATAACGATGGTCAATGTTATACTTATATAGATACCACTTCAATAATTTCCATTTAATAAAATCCCAAACATGATATGACTTGCCTAGTATGTTTTCTCGTAGTCCTAGCATTTATACACCGCCTTTGTTTATAATTGCCGCTAGCCAAAACATTCATTTACGGTGTATTATTGTATAACGCGTAATAATGGACATTACACATTACACAGAGTAGAAAGGCTGGTCAGTCACGCGATGTTTTATCAATAAAAGTTTTCTTCTGATACCATATTATATAGACAATCAATCTGGCCTCCTTCCAAAGATTTAATTAAGATACCGAAATCTTTCGACATATTGTTACTTTGATGTAGAACATGCTACTTATTGCATTAAATGTTTCGTACTACATTACTAAACATGTTTGCATATAATACGAAATAATTGATACAAGTTCAGGATGTCTTTAACGTTAGTATTCAAAATAACTGAATTAAAAATAGAATATGTAAACTACATGTAAAAAACTGTTCTTATGTATCAGATATCAGAGAATTAAACATATATTATAAAAGTAGCATCTGGACCATCTACCTGTCTACCTGCTTACCCCCCCCCCTCCCTAAAGGTATGACAGAGGCGGGTCCAGGAAAATGGGGTGGGGAGGGATCATTGGTTCCTTAACCCCGTCTTTTAAGCATCGAAAATTTGATTTCGGGTGTTAAACATTATGATCTTAACTGAAAACCTATATCCTCACAACCAAATTCAAACACAGAGCTTTCGACATTTCTGTGCTGATTTTGGTTGTGCCATTTTAAAATCATACAGGCAATTGTTTTAATTTAACTGTTTCAATAGGGAAAGGACGCAAAACATAGAACTAAAATAAGAAATACATAAAATTTGATAATATTAAAAAGTGTAATCACGCTTAAATGATGTTCCAGATCACACAAGGACACTGCGCTTCTAAATTTTACAATTCCTGGATCCGCCCCTTTATTAAATTAGGAGAGGAATTTCATTTTTTTTTTTTAAATAAAAAAAACAAATTACAGATACCTTGAGCAGTAACCAAAGCAGACTATACCATTTCGTTTACCTACGCTGGTCATTCACTCGCAGTGTTTGGCTGGAAGGACACGTAAGCGGAGTAAGCCCATTGGTCAGTCAGAACGAGGGCGGTACCGGGCTCCAGTATATGAGGTCGACTATCAGAGTATATTAATTGAGCAGTTATACGTTACCTGGGACGGATCGTCGAATTGCAAAAGATGGTCGACCTGAAAGTTTTCCTTAGCGTTGCAGTAGTGTTGTGTTTATCGTACCGTGGTGAGTTATGTGGGTTTTTTTTCATGGATAAGATGCGATAGCTTCGATTGTATAGTAAGAGAGACAATGACTGCTTCTTTAGGGTTTTCAGATTTATAATATGCAATTTATTGAGAGCAAATCGAAATACAGACCCGTCTTCTAGTCAACAGATATCTGATTACGGATGTAAGCTATTAAATGATTCATAATTCACAATCCTTATTTTCAATTCTAATTACGATTTTGTTGACATGTCGGTATTATCTCGTCGTTTTACTGAATTCTTATTTTAGTTAAAATTATTAACAAAGTATGAAAACATTTTTACAAAGCACTTAGTATATTGTTTGTATACCATTTTAAAAACAAATGTAGAATTATAGATAGGCGTGAATGCCATTTCGTTCACAATGCAAATATGGGCTATTTAATCTGCATTTGTATTTTAAGTTGGTAGTATAGAGAGAATATTATGAGTTACGTAAATCCTAAATTTTCTCAAATTGAAGTGTACTTACACATTTAAAGATTTTACCGTATATATATATATCGATATTAGATGACTATCTTCTGTAAAACATATGACATGGGTTTCTTAGTACCTTCTATTTAGAAAATGACAACGGTGTTTAGTGAAGAAAAACCAAAGCAAATTGAAACTTGAAAATGCTGTTAAAGCACTTCATGATTTGATCAAAATATATACTGTCCTTGCTCTTATAGCTTTTGGTTTTCAATTGCTAGGGAAGTATTAAGAAACTCTTGTCATTTTTATATCTAACCATCGCAAGGACCTTGGATATATACATATTTATATATACATTGTTTTACGAATGAATGAGATGTTCTGTGTTGACAGCTTCTGGAGAACGGCGTCTCCTTTGCTACTACGATATTTGGGCCGCAGCACGATACGACATTGGCGCCTTTACACCTGACATGATCGACCCATACCTCTGCACGCACATTGTAATGGCACAGGCCATGGTTAGGAAGAACAAACCGAAAGTGTTCAGGCGTGTAGTGGCAGATATGAAATAGTAAGTTAACATATGCAATTATAACAAATAAAAAATAAACACTAGAAATAAAGAAAGGAGCATCTAGTAAGAAAACGTAACATAACGATAAAAATCATCAAATGAAAAACATAGGAAAACAGTCTACGAGAAAAGCTGAATACTAAACTCTTTATAATATTACACATTGTATAAACATACACATTGTATAACGTTACACATTGTATAACGATACACATTTTATAACGTTACACATTTTATAACGATACACATTGTATAACGATACACATTGTATAAAGATACACATTTTATAACGATACACAATTAATAACGATACACATTTTTTAACGATACACATTTAATAACGATACCCATTATATAACGTTACACATATTATAACGATACACGTTATATACAGATACACATTTTATAACGATACACATTTCATAACGATACACATTAAGTAACGATACACATTCAATAACGTTACACATTTTATAACGATATACATTTAATAACGATACACAATTAATAACGATAAATATTGTATAGCTTGGCACATTTTATAACGATACACGTTGTATAAAGATACACATTTTATAACGATACACATTTAATAACTATACACATTTTATAACGTTACACATTTTATAACGATACACATTGTATAACGATACTCATTTTATAATGATACACATTTAATAACGATACACATTATGTAACGTTACATATTTTATAACGATACACATTTTATAAAGATACACATTTTATAACGATACACATTTCATAACGACACACATTTAATAACAATACACATTTTATAACGTTACACACTTTATAACGATACACATTGTATAAAGATAAACATTTTATAACGATACACATTTTATAAAGATACACATTTTATAACGATACACATTTCATAACGATACACATTGTATAACGATACACATTTTTTAACGTTACACATTTTATAACGACACACATTGTTTACAGATACACATTTTATAACGATACACATTTCATAACGATACACATTAAATAACGTTACACATTTTATAACGTTAAACATTTTATAACGTTACACATTTTATAACGATATACATTTAATAACGATACACAATTAATAACGATAAATATTGTATAGCTTTGCACATTTTATAACGATACACGTTGTATAAAGATACACATTTTATAACGATACACATTTCATAACGATACACATTTAATAACTATACACATTTTATAACGTTACACATTTTATAACGATACACATTTAATAACGATACACATTATATAACGTTACATATTTTATAACGATACACATTTTAAAACGATACACATTTAATAACAAGACACATTTTATAACGTTACACATTTTATAACGATGTACATTGTATAAAGATAAACATTTTATAACGATACACATTTTATAAAGATACACATTTTATAACGATACACATTTCATAACGATACACATTGTATATCGATACACATTTTTTAACGTTACACATTTTATAACGATACACATTTCATAACGATACACATTTACTAACGATGCACATTTTTTAACGTTACACATTTTATAACGATACACATTGTATAAAGATACACATTTTATAACGATACACATTTTCTAAAGATACACATTTTATAACGATACACATTTTATAACGATACACATTTTTCAACGTTACACATTTTACAACGATACACATTTGACAACTTAACACATTTTTATAACGTACATTTTATAACGGTACTCATCTTTTAACGATACACAATTTAAACTTAAACTAGTAATTCATTGCAACCCTGATGGGGTTAATTCCAGCTACGGCAATACAGCAAACTTCGGGGACTGATAGTCAACCAGCAGTTTTTGTTAGACAAATTAATCACTGGATATGCAAAAGAGGGAATCACGAATTTTGTAATAAATTTAGTGATAAATAGGGATACATTTACCTTATTGAGATGTAAACTTCAATCGTTTAATTTTTAATCTTTGGTGTGTTGCGGATATAGGATACATGCGATAAGTATTGATCAGTGTTGACTTAAATGCACCCAAATAAAATACATTCCTACAAAGCAATGTATGTATTAACTGATAACAAATACAAACTTATAAACTTTCAGCTACATTCCTTTCACCAATCTCACATTAATCAACCCAAAACTGAAGTCACTGGTGTTGCTAGCAGACTCAACAGCAGGGGATATGGACGATATTGTGCAAGACAGTACATCCAGAGCCATGTTTTCTCAGTCTGCCATAGATTTCTGCAGAAAATACAGCTATGATGGGTTTGCTATAGCTTGGAAGAAACCCAACGCTACTAACTTCTTAACAGTGAGCCAGGTATGAAATCAAACCAATATACAAACGTTTATGAAAGTTGACAATTGCTTGAATGCTAACTTCATTTTAAACCAGACCCTTAGTTAAGATCATTCAAAGATTGAGTGACATCCGAACAACAAGTGAATGAATTGGGTATTGTGGCATTGTTGATACATGTAACAGTGTCCGCGTTAACAATGAGTTTTGCCATGTTGACCTCAGTAGAAAAGGTTGTAGTTAACATCTTGATCCCCATTCTCCGAGCACACCTTCAAAATAATTAACTAAAGGACGAAATTGTTGCACGTTGTTTCCTTTACCACACATAGTTTTGTTCATGTTGCATCAAAATATTTTGTGATATTGATGTATGCACAATTTCTTATCTATATTACATTCAAAGTTGAAATATTGGTGACAAAGATGATTGTGCAGGATGAACTTGTTAAAGCTATCATAGATATCATATGCCGATATGTTCTTTGTCTTTGGCCAATACCCGGGTATATCAGATTCTCCATAGACCGAGCATTTAAACAAGATAATCTTTAACAACTTCTCCCGTATCTTTATGGTATACATGATGTCATTGGTAGTGCACTCATTTAAGGAATGATTTTTATTTTATCAACATTTATGAGATCATAACAACAATGGGTTGATGGACATATTGAATGAATCGCGTTAGCGATTCATGTAAAATATGTCCAAAAACCCATTGGTGTTATGACCTCATAAATGTTGAAAAAATAAATATCATTCCTTATATTTACATTGACGAATCCTTTCAGTGGATCGATATAACAACGAATAAAACAAATAAACAGGGTTTGTTCCTGCTTATACACGGGTGCAACGCAGTGGCGAGAACAGTGTTTTTTCGCGGGGAAATGTGACACTATCGTGAGAGATCTTAGCAACCGTCAACAACAATAACACAACAAAATGTAGTTCCATATTCAATGTTTATTTGTAGCACAGGACACGTGAATACGTGGATATTTCACCAAGCACAGTTCAATAATATTTTAAGATGTAAGAATTAAGCATCTAGGTCGGTCGTTCCGAGTGAGTAGTTTTTGTAGTGTATTACTACGCAGTGTGATCAGGTTACTATCAGTTCCCACGTGCTGAGATTCTATGAACACCTGTGTTATGCATTTATGAATGTAATTTTTGTCAATGGGTCTAAGCATACAGAATGTAAATATTTGCATATCAAATAATGTACGATAAATTCCTGAAGTAATTCTTTAACGGAGGCAGGTGATAACATAATATTTAAGGATGTAAATAAAGCGTTTTTAGGGCGGTCGGGTGGCACAGTGGATAGCGTACTTGCGGACTTAAAATGGTATGGGGTCACCTGCCCGACCACGTTGATTTTCTCCGAGTGGCACTAAGACACCCCTTCTCGCTAACATCCGGCCAAACACGAGGGATTGATATAAGTTGAAATCATTTGTTTACAACAATTATGAAACAAATGATTTCAACTTATATTAAGTTGTAAAACAAATAAAGTTTATATGATAAAGTGTTTTTTTAATCCTTAATACTTTATCTTGTATACCACTGAAGGGTTTCTCGTTTAATTCTTCTTGAAATTTAGGTTAACAACATTTGCATCTGTTCGATGAAACCTGTGTTTGAAAAATGAATTTTTCTGTCGAACACACGATTTTTAATACAACAATTTGAACACTTTTGTCAGCAATTCACAACAAAATAGTAATTGTGACTTTGTAATCACAGGATCTACGTGCGGCCTTTGATAACGAAAACACCACTTCCGATCGCTTGCTGCTTGTTGCTGATCTGGTAGGACAAACACTTGAAGACGTAGACGCATACTATGATAAATATACCATCAAATCAACCATTATGTAAGATTATTTTCTTCATTCATTCATAGCTAATGACATTTTTTTCCCGTAATACTAAGTATGCATACTTTATGTTCTAAAGACAGAATATCGTTAACATTTAATCAAGCAGGAATACACCGGGGTACGAACATCATCTGTTCAATTGATGTCAATTACTATTCTGAACATCAATATTCTGAACATCAATCATGAATTAAGCGATTAATGGTAGACCATTATTCATATAATGACAGTTTCCTTCGACAGCGTTGGCTTAATTACTCCTGCAGGTTGGAGATTGAAAAATAATATCCACTGCACGGTCGTAAGAGGCAACTAATGAGGTAACCCACTGCAGACTTGCGGATTTGCGTTTTACCTTCTCATTTGGAACAGAAAAGATACTAAAATAAATCTGTTGCACTCATTGCAATATTTGGGATCTTTGTATTTCTCTGTACTTCGAATTACCTTTTGTTTCCTTCAACTTGTTTGGCAAATCATCAATTTTGGCTAATGTTGAACGTTCGCCTAGGTGAGAAAGGCAATGGGTTCTGTCCCCAGGCTTGGACATACCGATGTCCTTTAAATTGGTAGTTGTTATTCCTTGCTTAACGATCAATATTTATGGCAACTAGTTCACCCGATGTCAGTTAAATGTGACCGGGCGAAATGATATTACATGACCTGTGCATTTGTTGCATAATCCTTTCAATTGACGCAAAATGGCATTGCCCACATAATCATAATTCAAATTAGTGTATCTAGTTTCAAATTTTAGTTTAAAGTTTTAAAACTAGTTTATATATTCCTTTTCATTATTCAATAATAACCAGCTCATATAATTGTGTTCATTGTACTCCGTGTCATAACATGTTTACATATCCACGATTAAATCATATAAAATCATCTCCCCAGTGAAAAACTGTAAAGAAACACACCCTGTAAATGTTTATTTAGTAACACACCCTGTATATATTCAAGTAAAATAACTCTATCGCGTAGATGCACACCTTTTAAATGTTTATGTAGAAATATACCCTTTGAATGTTTACGTAGATTTATAACCTAACCGAATATCATGACTTCCTTGATAGACAACAAAGACTTTCCAAATATGTAGATTGATGAAGACTATGGGCCAGTTTAACGGTCGAAATCACGATCGAATAGGAACACATGCTATTTCTTTGTGTGATATTAAGGTCGATGTTTTTGATTATGTTCATTACTGTGCTTTGGGCTTTTGTTGTCACTACCCGATTTATAGGTTTGAGGACGTGACATTAACTTGACCTTTGACCTAAAATTTCATGGCGAGTATCGTCTTTAACAAGACAATTTACTTTATTTAACACCTAATCTTAGTTCCCTCGTACTTAGTCAAGTGTCTCCATGAAGATCTTTCCTGATTCATATTTTGCCTTAGCTTTATCAATTTATAGTCTAAGAACGGTTTTGGTTAGATTTTGGTATTCAATTTTGTTACATGGTGATTTTGGTAACAAACGTGTATCTTAATTAAGGAGCTAAATTGTTTCAATAATCAGTATCTTAATTGAGATTTACTTACGATGACTTTCAGCTGATCTGTTGGCTTTTCTTATGAAGATACCAATAGTTATTAAAAATGATGAATATTGAATATTGTTATCATGAAAATGTTTAGTTATTGAATAGTTACTTTTGTGTCTGTTATCAGAATGTTATATATAAACGTATCCTTACTAAAAAATAATTGAAACAGGATTTCTACTGGAAAGGCTTCAATATTCACTGAAGAAACGAGTCTCATCGTGAAGTGATTTCCAAGAAATGTCTGCTGCAACTAAAGACTTTTGTGTTTTGTCCCTTTGTTTTCCCGTTTTGATATCATTTGTCCGTTTCTGATAATCGAGCATGCTTTACCCTTTGTGTTGATCCTGTTATGTATATCAGCTATGTATTATGTTCAAGGATGATCTTAATATAAACATCGCCATTGTCTGTCGTGGTTAATATCAACGTCACACTTGTTTTTCTTGGTTTAAATGGATATTCGATTTTGATATATTTTACTTCTTTGATGTTTAACTGCTGAATCTGCCTTTTTTTTTATTACAGGGACAACTATGACTTTGTCAATACAGAGTCTTTCAGTCTGTTTAGAGGCTCCAGCGTAACTGCTCATCACAGCCGCAGGGTTGCTAGGGACAGTGCCGTCGGGGCAGAAAAGTTTGGCAATATGGTACACAAGAAATCGATTTTTTTCACTTTTGTTCATTAGCTAATTTTAAAACGCAATTTATTTTACACATGATTAATCTTTATGATTGGATGAACATAGCATTTGCTTCTTTGCTTACAGAAATCGATTGCCGAGTATTTTGCTTTTCTTGGAATTCCTAAATCGATGATTAATGTAGGAATGGCAACCTATGGGGGAGGTTATACACTTGCTAACGAATCCGACTTCAGCGTTGGAGCAAATGTTGATGGACCAAGCACTGTGGGTCTTTACTCTGAAACCCTAGGCTTCATGTCTTATTATGAGGTACGTTCACGTTACGTTATAAACTACGTTTAAACGTTAAACAATAAGGAATATCTATGAAATGAGTTGTAAAAAACCCAAATATATCAAAATTAGGAGGTATGTGACAAAAAATGTAACACTGTATAATATTATACAGTTATAGAATGGGTATGAGGGAAATACAAATTTATGATCCCCCGAGATGAAGAACTATTTCCAGAGGCAGCAAAGCCGCTGAAGAAATAGTTCTTCACCAAGGGTGACCATACATTTGCTATTTCACGAATTACCCATTCTATAAATGCTTTATCATAACGAAACAAATTAATGCAACTTAACAAATGGCTTTAATAATTCATTTCTTGAAACAATTTCAAAGAGAAAAAACCCCATCACAATTGGAAGTGCTGTATGAATCGTCGTTGATGATATCTTCATTTCTAGCATTCAAGAAGTATTTATGTAGACCGTATCTAATAGTCACTATTGATTTCCTACCATATTTAGTCCCATCCACTTTATAAGCATAAAACTTGCATGCACACACGTTCACCGCCTCTGGGCTTGCTCTGTCCTAATTGTCGACGCCACCGGCATTCCGTTCAATTAAATAAGTAATGAAGTACTGTCTTAACAATAGCTTTTATATTTAAGCTATACTTTTAGCGTCCAAACTATGCTGTAATTCCTAATCAGTAAGATTGCATGTATCAAAACGGCCTACATCGATGGCCATTTTCGCTGTTGTCATTTGCTTTTAAATTGTGACGTCACTTGCGTCATGAAGAAGGCACCGCCTACCAAATGTTTCATTGGTTGAAATTTTATAAGCTCCGCTTACAAATATTCATTAGGGAGTAGTCTCTCCCTGGCAGAGAGTAGTCCTATTTTGGGGAGGAAGTAGCCCTCAGATCGAGAGATATAAGTGATTTTAAGGACATTTTATCGTATTGTTTTTGAAAACTCAGTAGAGGTACATGTCACACTGCGAGGTACGACGTACATACATATATTTTGCATAAATGTATAGACATTATACTAATGGTAGCAAATTCATCTTTTTAATCCATGAAAATGAACACATGGAAATCTTCAATAATCCAGTGTCATTCCGCTTGATTGGTTTTCAAGCAGAAAATGTTTCATATGAAAATGCAAAATAGTAACCTACCGAGTAAACATAAACTGGAAAAAGGAGCCCACAAACCAAGTACTTGGTGCGCAAATTAAATGTAACCACGGGGTTCGTTGAGTCAGCAGGGCCAACGAGTATTACATAAGGGTTTTGACGTTACTTTCACTGATTTTGATGCCACATTTGTTTGAACATCTTGACAATAAAATGCAAAGACCTATTATTAAGGCAGAAATATTTTGCATCAATGATGAATATTTTTGCCCAACCTGAAGAAATTTTCAAGTAAAGGGTCATTTTTCGTCTTCATCTTTTAAAATTCTAACCTTTTTCAATTGTACTAAAAACCCAATATTACATATCCCATAAACCATGCATATATTTACATGTCCTTGGGTCTTTGTTATGACCCCGGGACCTCAAGCCCTAATTATCCGTGCCGAACAGCTCAATTTGTCCCAGGTTTTGGTTCAACTTGTCCCGTGCCGGGGTAAGGTGAGCCACATTACCGCGCAATTCGGAATGAGTGTCACCACCTTAAAGGAACAATATTTAATTATTTGAACATAGTAGTTTGAAATTCAGAGATATATGGTCCTGTTAAAAAAACCTGGTTCGACTTTCCTCAGTTTTCCTTGTAATTGTTTTCGAAAACTTACAAGAACGTTGGTATCACAGGCATTGATATAGCAAATAACTTATTAATTATTTACCGACCATTCATGTCTAGAACACTTGATAATCCAGTTGTTCTGTATACCTAACGATACTCTCCATAATCCGTTATAATGAGCGTATAACTGACATAATCTAACATTACTACAACCCACTTAGATACTCTTGGATAGAAACTATGTGGATATATTATAAATGTGATTAATATTGAAAAGAATGGTTTAGGGATGTAGATATCAATGAAAAATGCATTTAAAAAATCCAAATACAATAAAATACAGTGATAACTTCATGTTTGATAACATTTCAGATATGTAAAGCCCTCGAAATGAACCAGGGTGCCATGTATAGAGATTATGGTATGCCGTACTACGTCAATGGCAGTCAGTGGATTGGTTATGATGACACAGAAAGCTTCAAAGAGAAGGCAATATAAAGTTTTCATGCTTTTTTTTTATCTCTTGTTTCAAATGTCTGAATGTCAAATAAATATTGAAAATATCAAAATCTTCCTATTCAAAAAAGAAGAAGAGGATTTCCCATTGTAATGGAACCACGAACATTTCTTTTGCCCGAGAAGAGACTATGTCCTAAACACGGACAGTCTATGAAATGAACATGAAAGGCTATGCAATGAACATGGACAGTCTATCTGATAAAACTGATCAGTCTATATAATGAATATAAAAAGTATATCTGATGAAGACGACCAGTCTATGCAATAAACATGAGCAGACTATCTGAAGAGCATCAACACTCTTTGTAACGAACATTAACAGACTATCTGAAGAAGTATATGAACAGTCTTTGTAACGAACATGAACAGACTATCAGCAGAACATCAACAGTTATGTAATTAACATGAACAATTTATTTAATAGAAATGAACAGTTATGTCATAAACATGAACATTATCGCACCTAGAAAGACGTAGTAATGTTCAAATAATACTTTTCCATATTCCATATTAAATTAGAGGTGTCCATTTATATAGCATACTAATCTTAATACATAGTTTTGAGCTAAAGTTGATCCCTAAATTTTCAAAAAAGGTCCTAGTCCTATCCTAGTTAACACTTTTAACAGTCACACTCCAAAAGGGATCACTTTTTCATGCGTATTTTCCATATGTGTCTTATTAACAGGCGGAATGGATTGTCGAAGAAGGCTATGGCGGTGCAGCAGTATGGTCGTTCACATTCGACGATTATAGTCAATACTGCAACAAATCTGATCGTCGCTTTCCACTAATTAACACTGTAAAGGACGTGTTTGTTGAGGCGGACACTCCAAAACGTGAGTTGTATTATCGATGATTAATTAGGTTAAAGTATTTTGAAATTAACACCTTCATACAAAATTGATGATTTTCAGTTATTGCATGTGTTATACAATTGGAAACAAACGTACATAAATATTAATCATATTCATCCTCATTTATGTACCATTTGACAGAGTACAGACGAGTGTGTTACTTCACCGTGTGGTCGGAGAATCGTAGAGGAGATGGCAAATTCATGGCTGAGGACATAGATCCTAATCTCTGTACCCACGTGATTGTAGCCTTTGCCGAGGTTTCGGACGATTGCGAGCTTCAGGCTTCCTCTGAGAACGATACGATGATGTAAGAAGTATATTTGTGTGCACATATGAATTTTGCTTGGTATGTGTTTGATTGCTAACGATTTCATGACAATTGGTGAAGGTAAAGAAAAATCTATTTATGCATCACTTCATAGAAAAAAAGTTATGATATAACACGTTTATCATCCTCATCCCTATCAATCCAATTCGGGTTTGGGTTTGATACATGGGAGGAATACTCCTTTCTCATAACAACATGTTGTACAAATTTGGGAACAACTTCAAAATTATTGGCATAATCACAAATCGAGTATGATTCAGACATGAATTTTCTGAAAAACCGGAAGTAAAATGGATATGGTGCGTGCATGCCGTGTGGATGTGGGTCGGCCAGAGATATGGCATATGAGTAGCTAGCATTATCGCAGATGCAAAATAACCTTTACCCCAGACAAGTATATGATAAATTTTACTAACATTGTAGGTATGCGGAATATATTGTATTATTATTTTAGCAGAAGTTGATTTATTGTAGTATCAAGATCCTGATATAGGATCAGCAGAGTATTTTTCAAAACCCCCCACAAAACTTATTTTATTAACTTTTTTATACAAAACAGATACGAACGTGTCACCGCCTTGAAGACAAATAACGCCGACCTGAAGGTGTTGCTTTCTGTTGGTGGTTGGGAACAGGGAAGTGAAAGTTTCTCCTTCATGGTTTCACAACCCAAACGGAGGAGGACCTTTGCGAATTCAACCGTCGCGTTTCTACGATTGTATGGATTTGACGGCCTTGATTTGGCATGGCAGTACCCAGCTCAAAGAGAAGGATCTAATGAAGACACGGACAAAAAAAAATTTGGCATTCTCGTCGATGTTAGTATTAAATTATTGCTTTGTATGCAACATGCGCGCGGACATTCAAAGAAGGAAAATGTTTATGAAAATAGATTGCCGACAGTTAAAATCTCATTTAAATCTTAAATCTATGATTTTTTTTTAGTATTGTCCGACGCATACTTAAAGCATGATACGATATTAGTTTTTGGTTAAAAATCAGCAAAATAGCAAGAGACCGAATGAAATATTGTAAGGACTATCATATGTATGTATGGTGATTATGGGAACTGTACCTACATATGTAGAAGTTTGGTCAGAACTGAAGACGAGAAATGAAACAAAGATAAGGTTGAAACATAACTAATACACATCATTAGAACATGAGCTACATAAAACAGTTCCATCGTTATTTTTATATTTAAAAACAAAAAAACCCAAAAAAACCCACACCGACTAATAAATCAGACAAGTACATACATGAAGTAAAGAATGACATTGAATGTAATAACCAGCCCTGCTGAAAAGATTTAGAAAGTGACATTTAAATGATTAATGTATTCGTAAAGTAAACATACTATTTTATTTACTTATGAGCCATGTTTTGTCGTCTTTCAATTATAAATAAAATGCACAAATATATAATTTACTCATTCTGTAAATTTGAAACATACCATAAGGTAGCTTTCACCCAATGGTGCCATTCGACTTGATATAACTTATATTTTTAAAAAACTATATATGGACAACAGATGTTTTGGAAATAGTGAATAAACTCTCTTTCGTTATTTTCCCCAGTTACTAAGTCGGCAATTCGAAAACGAAGCGCGATCAGACGATACACCTCGGCTGATGTTGACAGCTGCAGTGGCTGCGGAACAAGAACACATTGACTACGCATACGACGTTAAGGCCCTGGCAGAGTAAGACAACAGTCACGATACTATCCTTCCCTCTGCCTTTGTTCTTGTTTTTATGTCTCCTAGGTTTATGTCGCTGGGTTCCGCGTCTGATTTCGTCCTTTGTATTCACACTGTGGTATGTTCCATCTATTTTGTTTCGCTATATCACTCGTCAAGTAAAGATATCAACAGTTAACCTCTGAGTTAATCATGGTCCATTTAACGTTTTAAGCAATTAAATACTTCAGATATCGGAGTAAATCTGTATTTCCCATCTAACTTATACACACTGTAATATTCAATCGCAAATAGATCAACACTTTACCTTCTCAACCAGCCATGTAATGTAGAAATACCGACATGTAGAAATACCTATTTAAGTAAGGCTAGCTTTGTGATTTGGTCACTCGTAATGTGTGGTTAGAACCAATTAGTTATCTTAGATATCTAAGTACAATTAAGGCTAAAATCAACCAACTTCGCGGTTTTACAATATGAAATAATGCACAACAGTCTCATAATTCAATGATTCATTCTACACAAAAATAATCTTTAAAATCGCAATTCAAACATGTGCACTACTACCTCCTTAAACCATAAAAATGACAGCATTACATCGACCGGAACAATTCAGATGTGTACAAATCAAAGGTTTGCTAGTATGTTATCCCGAAACTTCTCAATAATCCTTTTAATGCTCAGCCTGCTGCTCGTCAAAGCTACTATTACTACCATTCTTAGTACTGTTTAATCAGAATTAAAATGTGACAAAAATATATCATACAGATGTTGATTTTAAGAAGCTCTTTGAGATAATCTTGAGCATGCTCTCGTCAAAAATGGTTTCTTTTATCACATTTTATTTTGTCGCTATTGACATTGCCATACATCATATCAAACTGAAGGAATGCCATCGTTTCCTTGTTAATGAGTGCTTCCTTTTCTAAGAAAGGCGAATATAAATACAATGTACACAGGTATTTGGGAGCATATTGTGAGTAACAAAACGAATGCAAGAATGAGATATATTGAGAGGAAATCATAAGAATTCATTCAAATGCGAACAAGATTTCTTTCCATATGAGGCCGATTAGATATCGAAAACGTTTGTAAGGAGTAGCAATAGAAACCTTGACAAATAGTTCAATTTTACTTTCAGATACTGCATACAGGGATATTTTCGCTGCAGTTTAATTTTCACCTTTTATTATTACAGTCAACGTAAACTACATGGTAATTAAACGTCAATGGCGAAATTAAAACTAGGCTAATATGGATTTCACCGCATTTGTATATATCTCACATACAGCGAGCAATCGACTTGCCTCGGGGCAGGATGTCAGATAGTTAGAGGATTGATGGCAGTATCATTAAGTTCAGATACCGTTACCCCGTTCTATTTGTAGCTGCAATATCATGGTGTGTGCATATTTAAAATTTACGGACGATGTTTGGCATCGATGTTTTAACGAAAGTGTTAATTCACTTGGTGTGGAAAGCCATATTTCGGTATGGCAATATTAAGTTGAAATCACAAAGCGCATTATCGACCATCTTTAAAGATATTCAACCTTGAATACGTCGTGATTGTTAATTTCGTTATCAATCAACATTATAATAACAGTTGTTCTTCAATTTAACAATCATCGAATAGTTCCTTTCGATTTGATATTTTGTAAAATTAACGTAGTCGAATACAGTATGGCGGGCTATGTTTACAGGTAACGACAAGCACGTTACATATACATTACAACTTGTTTATTTTAATCCTTTCGTTATACCGAAGATTATATGTATTTATTGCTGAGCAATTCTAAATCTGTTTAAATGTTGTCATTTGGATTGAACTTCTTTTTTGTTTCTATCATATACTTTCCGCGATATTTGCAGTGCTCATGCTGTCTGCCGTCCAACCTGACATAAACATGGTGATGTTGGATGAACCTCAGATTCGTCGAATACCATGTATTCCTATTGATTTGGTCCTCACGAGTTTGAGTTAGCGGGGTTTTACTATATTTGTGTTCACCGTCTGAGTAGTCATTATCGGTTCACGTAGAAGATAAACATTTTGATTTCCTACAAGAATCAGGGATATAAGTTGTTTACTCTTAACAGCTTGATTGGAGTTTAAAAACTTTAACTTTTGATTTTAGAAGCTTGGACTTCCTCAGTATCCAGACGTTTGACATGCATGGCTACTGGGACGAAGAGACCGGTCATCACAGTCAATTAAAAGCGTTCCCGTGGCAAACTGGAACCGAAGCCAATCTAAACATGGTATGTGATGGCACCTGAATCGATCCCTTATTCATATGGTCATGAGACATTGATTGCTTATACAAAACATCCAAAACAAAAATTATTTCAGATAATGGCCTTCTGTCCAAACAATGACTTGTAAATTGGATCATTGCTGAATGTATGAAACAACTGCACTGCGGACAACAGTACTTATTTCATTTTGTTACCCTTAGGATTGGGCTGGAAGGTATTGGCAAATGCTTGGCGTTGACAAAGAAAAAATCAATATAGGTGTCGCCACATTCGGACGTGGCTTTGATGTGGATTATGCAAACAAGAATGGAATCGGAAATCCTTCTAATGGACCTAGCGCCCCAGGCAATTACACGGAAGAGGCAGGCTTCCTTGCTTATTACGAGGTAACAAGTTTTATATATAAATAAACCGAAACATTTCCTAATAAATTCGAGTGCCATTATCAACTAAAAAAAACATTTTTGCTTCAATTTTATCGTCTTCACTGATGAGAAATGAATGATTGTGACTGATAGGTGAAGTTATTGCCCGTGTTTTATGTTACAGATCTGCAATTTAAATGGAACACGTGATTACCAATCGAGTGTACCTTTTATGTACGGAGACGAATGGATTGGTTATGACGATGAAACTAGCATCATGAATAAGGTACTGTCTTTCTTTCTCTGCCACATAATTTTCATTCAGTATCATAAGTATAACCCTGTATACAATTTAGGTATCATTATGATTAACTATTGTGACTTTTGTCTTGAACAATATAAATACTACATGACAGATTCTTATTATAGGACAAAATTGTTATCAACGGGAACTATAAAGTATTTGGATATTTAGCACACATTTCTTTTCGTTTGTAAGTTTTCAAATTTTCTCGACCATATCTTGTAAATAGCCAAGAATATGTTTTTTTGTAAGAATTTTTTAAATATGTAAATTATAAGAAGCCAAACTAGATGTCAAATGACTGTTAAAAAATTCCCCGACCGTATGTTCGAAATAGATGACCATTATTTTTGGAACAAAAACGATGAAACATAATTAAAGGTATCACTTGGTATCAATAAAATTGGAGTGGAGGAGCTTTTATATGAAGTAGCATTTATTCCTTACAACAATTTGTAGTAGAATGATCAAACGTTGGTTTACAGATGATATGGCTTGCAAAAGAGGGATATGGTGGCGCCATGGTGTGGGCGTTGGATCTGGACGACTTTAGAGGGAATTGCATGTCATCCAATGGCCCCTTCCCCCTCATTTCGACCGTTAAGAATGTTTTGACCGGCTATTCGAATGGATCAATTCAATCCTTCGATTCTACTTCCCCTACGACCACTTGGGAGACCACCACTATGAGTGAGACCACTACACTACCTCCATCGTCAACCCAAGAAGGTATAAGCATCAATAGTTTCATAATAATGTTAACTTTTGTTAAATTACATTCTTAAAGGTATTAATATATGTGATAAATAACATTCCTGAAAAGAATATTAGAAAGTTAGCGGTTTCATCCGATTATATCATCCGCAGTACCTTTCCTTTTCAACAAATAATGAAGAAGAAGTTGATCTTCATGAGAAAATTTTACTGGTTGAGCGTGAACATGTTATTACCACGCTTCTGCCATGGCCTTTGCGATATACCAATGCTTTTTTTTTTTATCTCCAATTGCTGACAAATTTATCTATGTCTCTATACATTCATAACTGTAGAGACAATCCTTAATTCTTTTGATACATTCTTGAATACTGATGTGAGATTTGATCCTGTCGCCCTCTTTCTGGTTCTACCTTGCGATCAAATTTAATCAAAATTATATTCTGAACTGTCAGTTTCACTCGTGAATTAAGTGTAAAGTACTCTGGTATCTCAACATCCGTTATTTTCCATCAGCGCTTTGAAGTGAAATAAATGGAATGGATTTTGAAGAATTTCAAAGATCTTTTGATCAATCTTGAACGTCCTGTTCTCAAAAAAAGTTCAGTATTCAAGAATTTGCTTTGAATGTAATAACTTTCGTAGTGAAAGATGTCGAGTGCTGACGGATAGACTTACACCACAAGGTTTCAAAAGATGAGGTTGATGAAGACTATGGACTACCAGTTTTATGGTTGCAATAATGATCTCATAGGGAAGTATGTTACTTCCTGGTGTGATTCGAAGATCAGTGTATTTTTTTTATGATGCCTATAAGTGAGCCTTGTGGTTCTGTTGTCACTACCCGAGTTCTCGATATGAGGACGTGGCATGATTTGGATTTGACATAGATTTACATAGCGGGTGTCCCTGTACCAAACACTGAAAACACTGCAGGAATTGTTTTCGTGGCTTCATCTTGAGTAGGAACTCGGACCAGTCCTATTTGGGGCAAAATTTTATATCAAAGAATATATTTCACCTTCTGTTTGGCACTGTTTTGTTTTGAGCCCCGGACTAATTCAACATCTTGCTTCATCAAGTGTCTCAGCTGTGTCATCACTTGAGACAAAGATGGCCCAAAATTCTATAAGTATTTTTGTCTTCACAGGTTTTGTTCGACAAATAGCTAACAATTGATAATTCAACCACCTTTTATACATTCTTTTCCCATCATGAACATATTTTTGATGGATATGTCCTTTAAGATCTTCGAACTAACTCAGTTTGATCTGTGAAGGGCTTGAGACTATCGTTTTACAAAGCGTACCTCTCGGTGTACATGCTTTTAAAACAAAACTTCCTTTTAGCATTTGCTCAGCATATGATAATGGAATCTCAAGTTAGCCTATGTTACACTGTTGCTTAAGGTCGGACGTTCTATTCAGACGGCAAGATATGGTTTTGTTCTTGAGGAAGACATGCCTTTGTTACTCTAATCGTTCTCTCTGAAGTAGAAAACACTAAAGACCATGCTCGGGCACACACACTCTTAGTGGTATATAAACCACACAATCTAAAGACCGTGCACAGGCACACACACTCAAAGTGGTATATACACCACACAAGCTAAAGTTCATGCACAGGCACACACACTCAAAGTGATATATACACCACACAACCTATAGACCATGCACAGGCACACATACTTAAAGTGATATATAAACCACACAACCAATAGACCATGCACAGGCACACACTCACTCATAGTGATATATACACCACACAGCCTAAAGACCATACACATATACACACTCACTCATAGTGATATATACACCACACAATATAAAGACCGTGAACAGGCACACAATCACTCATAGTGATACATACTACACAACCTTTAGACCATGTACAGGCACACATTCATAGTGATACATACTACACAACCTTTAGACCATGCCATAAATTTCTTTTAGAATATAAAGAGCGATATGCAAAATTTGAATAATCATAAAAAAATATAATATTAATAACCATAATATATTGAAAGCATGGTTTCTTTTTGTTGATGATTTGTATATGATTTTTTACAGCCTTCATCGATTGTAATACCTCGCCAACTGGCGGACCATACCCAAATACAAACGACTGTAGAACGTTTTACAAATGTTCGCATGGAGTACCTCATCTATACAATTGCCCCGGGAACACTGCGTATGACCGCGCTCTCAGAGTGTGCAACTGGAGCAGCTTCACAAACTGTTGAATAGCTTTTAAATTCCGAATAATATGTCCTATTGTTATAGATAGCACAAATATATCCCAATGCAAATTTTGATGTAAAATGTTTCAATTGTTGTGATGACCACTATATGTAATGTGTGAACGATCTAATAAAAGCGTTTAGCATGCACCATTTATTGTATTTCTTAAATTGAAATGATTATTTTTTTATTCAAATATCACTCAAATTTAGTGATGCATCTTCTTACCGAAAGCATAATATTTTAGAAATTGACTTATTCATCATCAGCTCGCAATTGAAAGCAAAACCAGGAAACTTTCGCTCAGTCAAATAGTTGCCCTTTGCCGATACAATCCATGTTCGGTTTATGTTAATTTCGCCCTTCACAGGTAAAAACTATAGTATTATATTGTATGTTGTTTAATAATATTTGTTTTCATGATAAATTCGTTCTCATTGATAAGGTAAAATTTAACGAAAATTTCCCGGTATGCAATGCAAAGCATATCGAGGAAATTGAACATTACAACTGGTGATATCAGCTATATAGTCATTGAACCATGCTTGCTATAACTTCAATGAGGATGGGAAATACAGACAAATTAACATAATCATAGACCTCCAGCCTTTACTTAAAAACTTTGTTTCCTGTAATAAACTGTCCCTACCCTTATGAGTGAAGTTTGTGTCCTTATTGACAGCTGGCGAGAGTATTCTTTTCAGGAAAAACTTACATTAAACAATAACACAGTTAAATCCTTTGCATGGTGCTTTTATGTGGGTTATATCGGTTAAAATATCTTCAAATTCAAATTTGACTCATGATTTACCCCCAAAAAGAAGTAATAGAATTGTTTACGAATCCAAACCGAAATGTATTCCCAGAATATCGATTGATGATACATATATGGTACGTGAAATAACTTAGAAAGGTTCACACCTCAAAAAGTAACTGTCACATGAGGTTGTCAGGTGTTAGCCAAGGTGTGATTTTGAGCTGCTGAACATTATTTATAGAAAAGTAAAAGGTGCTAGCATGTACATCAATTCAAGATGGTGTGTACATCTAGTCAAGATGTTATAGGACACTAACGTGATTACTTATATATCTAACGCCAAATTAACATATATTTGAATAAATGCACACATCTTGGAGGCACGGTAGTCTAGTGGTAGGACGCTGGGCTCGTGACCGATGGGTTGCGAGTTCGAATCACGGTACAGCACTGTGTAGTATCTTTGAACAAGATACTTTACTCTGCTTGTTCCAGTATACTCAGCTGTAAATGGGTACGAGGTTAGGCAGTGCTAAAAATGTAGAATGTTAGCTGTGAGCGCCGAAATGGCAGCACCGGCTGTATGGTCCCCAGGGAAAGATATTGGCTGGTTGCAAAGGCCCTGTAACCACGGATAATAATTTGTGAACCGCTTTGAGACGACCTACGGACAAGGTTGTAATAAAGCGGTATATAAGAACCTCAGATTATTATTATTATTAAGGTTGAAAGACTGTGAAGTGTTCGGAAACATATGTAGAATTTCTGCATTGGAAGGGTGCCCATAGACGCCTTTAAATCGTTATAGATTTACGACTTTGGGATAAAACATATTACAGTAAAACCTCGATATAATGCCACTCTTCTCATTTGCCACCTCGCTTACCACCAACATATTTCAATGTCCCTTTTTCTTGTTTTTTAGGAATTATTTTTATACATATCCCTTATACAAGTAACCTCCAAACCCCTTTTTAATGCCGAAATTTCTCTGGACTAACGATGGCAGCATAGCGAAGTTTTACTTTATTTGTTCAGTTAGTAGTGTTTAACATAAACCGTGTCATACCATTTTAAGGCATAATCAGGGAATCAATGATGAACACTTTCAAACGGCTGAAACTTGACTTGTGTATCACGACTACAATATGTGATACATACCAATCAGACACGAAAACACCAAGGTCAATTCCAAACCAAAAGGTCAAAAGTCAACGGTCAAATCTTTTCGGATTGAAACTTTTCTGACGTTTATATTTAAAACCTCATAATCACAGATATCATCAGGAAACATACGTGTTACGTATTACACCAACATCCCTAGACTAAGTTCAAGGTCACAAAAAGGGATCAAATGAACAAATTTGAACTTCATAACTAATGGACATTATTTGATGAAACTTCATAACATTTGTATTATAAAACGACAGTGTTTCTTGTACAAGTATGGAGCATTTAAGGATGCTGGTACATAACTTATAACGAATAAATGACTTTTATTACAACAAGTAGAGGTTCATTTACGATTCCGTATACTAGCTTATCGATCCCTATATTTTAACTTTCTTCCTCGCTTTCGTTATATGTGCAAACATGAAAAATATCATAAAAAACTGCCATAGAAACATTGATATGGAATTCGACGTTTTCGTGGGGTCTATTTTCTACATCTAAATAATGTGAATAAAGTATTACCTTTGACGAAAACATGATATTATTAAGCGATCGAACGGTATTTACACATGAATGTAGGATGTTAATGTCACATATAACCGTATGAAATTTATATTTAAACTATAATTGTAAGAAGATTATTTATCATACTACTTAATTCATTATCATGGATTGTCAGTATGAGTATACTCAAGAAGAAGTTGAGAACGACTTGAAATCAACTTGAGAATATATTGACACGAACTTGCGATTGGTTTTTCCTATAACCCGCCATTCAGGAACATATTTTCTCAACAAAAAAAAGAACGTCTGCTCACGCCGGTTGACGTCCATAACCGGAAAAAGTATCGACACAAAAGTGATCAGCGTAAAGAAAACTATGTTATAAACAGATTTTTATAAAATTACGAAAAAAATAATGTTAGGATAACACCACCATTTTAAGCGTAAATTTGCGTATGGAGAATATACGGTGTTAAGTGGACTTTTTATGAATGGAGAAATATATAAGGTCTACCTAAAAACACAGTATAATTATCTAAAAATACTCTCTATCTGAATTAGATACATCGTTGTACGACCACGTTTGGTAGGTCATTATATGACAGTCTTACATGAAGAAATCGGCATGTCCTAAAAACAGATCCTTTACAAAATACTTCAAAGTTTAGAAGGTAGATGACAGAGGACATTTGATACGACGAAAAGCATTACGAAGACATGTGCGTAGCATAAATGAATAGCTGGGACAATTCTCTGTGCGTATGTCATGCATTTTGTGTGCTATGGGTTGATATTCTAACTTACTAACAGAGTATTGGCCGGTTCGATTTACTCTTCTGGAAAAAGGCACGCCGTCTTTCATAACCGCAAGATGGGTTTAATTTAATCTTTATTTTATTATCGGTATAATATTCCAGTAATGAAAACATGATATACATATAGGATTCGAAAACAAGTACAAAGTACTTATGTCAATCCGTCTCCTTTTTTGTAAAACGGCAATTGGACGGCACTGACGATTATTGTGCATATAGATATAAGTATTTGGAAGGGAAGAGGATGGGAGAGGAATAAGGGAAAGATGTGCAAAAGGTTTTAATATATTTTTTCAGTGGTAATAATAAATCGGAACAAGATGAATTTCAGCATTCAACTTTTTAAGATTAGTAATCGACGGGTTAGGCTTTATGTTATCGGGAAATGCATTCCATAAGTCAATAGAGGAGGGTAAGAAAGAATCCTTATGAAGCTGGGTTCTACAGGTTATTTGGCAGTAATTATTTGCGTTTCTAGTATTGTGAGAGTGCAAGTCAGAATGACGAGCAGGAAGTATGTTAGTTAGATAGGAGGGGTACTGACCATGGACAATCTGATGGAATTGTATTATTTTATGTTTTCTTCTTCGGAAAGAAAGAGGATTCCAGCCAGATTCTAAATAAATTGGGTCGTGACTAGTTAGTTTAGTGGCCCCAGTAACAATTATGGCTGCTTCGAGTGGTATATTTTTCTAATAATTGACTTTGTCCAATCGTTATATTGTCCAATATTACATCTCCATATTCTAAAAGGGGTCATAGAAAAGCAAATTTTTTTTTTTGAAAAGTCATTCTGTCAATATTGAATTTGAATTTCCTAAGAATACCCAGTTTCTTGGATGCTTTGCTGATTATATATTGCACATTTTCGGTCCACCCTCCACTAGCTGAGATAAAGTCGCCTATGAGTTTATGGCAGGGGACTTCTGTTAAGGGGATATTATCTATAAATAAGGAGGGATGAGTTGGTTCATTATTTTTCTTACTTACAATTGTTGTCACTGTTTTGTTAGGGTTAAAGTTAACAAGCCATTTTTTTTAGACCAATCCTGGATTTTCTTTAGATTGTAGTTCAAAAGGATGGCAATAAGATCCGAGTTTTCGAGTTTAAAAAGAAGACCACGATGCCACACTCGGTCGAACGCTTTGCTAATGTCACAGAAAACCATTCTGATTTCTTTACCTTTATCTAGAGCAGAATAGACATCGTTAGAAATAGATATAAGTTGGTTTGTAGAGGAATCGCCGGATCTAAAGCCAGACTGACAAGGAGACACAAGATATTTGTCAATTAAATAATTGTAAACATATTTGTATACACACCTTTCCTTCATTTTGCCAATAATAGATAATAAAGATAGGAATAATGCTAAGGACAGATGAGTCGTCTTTTTTGAACACAGGTGTGACGTTAGCCCTCTTTCATAGAGACGGTAACATGCAATCAGTAAGAGAGTAGTAAGATAAAGTTTAAAGAGGATAACTTAGAATATCAGCAGCTTCCTTGATTAAACGAGGATTTATAAGGTCAAGACCAATGGCTTTCTTGCAGCCAAGATTATGTATAACATCAAGAACGTCTTGACGAGATATAACAATTTCAGAGAGAATATGAGTGTGGGGCTTTTGTAGATAAGGGGTGTCAATATTTGTCTCATCGATGGTAGCTTCTGAACTAAAGTAAATGTTGAAGGTATTCGCTTTTTCTTGATCGTCGTGTATTATGTTATTGTTAATTAAAACCGGAGGTATATCGCTTTTTCTACTAGTGTTAGACATAAAGCGATTAACAATTTTCCACCATTCCTTAGCACTTATTTTAATATCATGTTTAAGTTTGTTGCAGAGTTTGTTAATATATTTACTTTTTGAATTACGTAAGGTATTTACACAAGTATTTCGAGT